CCATGTTATCTGCCAAGCCCCTTCAAACATGTACAGGGGGTCGTCCGTGGATTCCAATGTGATCCCAAAGGTGCGTCATCACAGGTACAACGAGCCTTTGGCGTGGACGCGTCCTGGAAGATCCAGGTTTACGCCCCCAAGTTCTCCCCTCGCACACAATTCTAGCTCTACTATCAGATATACCGTATCTTTCGCAAGTTTTATTCCTACCCTGTCCATTACCGTGTTGCTTACTCCGCTTCTTGCTAGCGTGCTTATCTCCGTCCTACCATCAGTTTCCCGAGGCGGCAAGATCCTAAGTGGTTTTTCCTCCCAGAGCGTCCGTTTTTGGCCCATTGTATGGCGCCTTCCTTGTTTTCACGGCCTGTAGTCTGCAATTGTATCCACTAAAGTTTCACGCCTTTCTCTTAGTCTTCCTACTTTTCACAACAGTCTTCCTCCTATTGTACACTCGTCTTTTGTCTTGCCCCTACCTCCTTCATACTCCGATCCTCTACTTGTTTCCCATCGATGCCCTACTCGCTCGAGCACAATTTGTTTTTTAATCAAAACCACAGGACTTCAAACAACAGGAACACGTCGCCTACGTACGAGGGGGTTGTTGCCACCTCAGGACGAAGTATAACATCCTTCGTTTCATCGTCCACCTTGGTTCGGTCGTCCCTAACAACTTTCAAAATGTCCATGACCTCCTTAGCTCTATCAACGTAGAAAGACCCCTCTTCCAACAAGATCTTGTAGAATTCGTCGATCAACCATGAAAATTTCAGGTTTATCTCATCTAGGGACTCCACTACCCTGCAAATATGTCTGTATCCCCCGAACCAGTCTGCCACAAAGTATGGTACCCAAGCCTGGGCTAATTGACATGGCAGCCTGAGCTCCTCCGATTATCCCATTACAACTCGGTCGCTAATCCCATCCCATCCTTCGTTGGCGAACTCCTCCGCCTTGCAGTGAGTTCATTGCTCGGCCTCTCCTAAGATCCACATCGGATCCTGTCCGGATGCTAGCGTTACGCAAAACAGGTGTCAGCCTTTTTGGGACGGGCAGATCGTCTCGAGGGACTCCACATTCCCCTCGGCTATGTTGTCCCATCCCTCTTATTCTCTTATCGGGTTCCACATCCTTTCCACCCACATGTCCGAGAGTTCAATCGCGATCTCCACGCCTACCTAGTCACAAATAGTTCCCCTCCATTCGTTTCTTGTTGGCAATGTCATCTCCATCCTCTAAACATGTGATTGTTCAGGCGCTGCTCCCTAGCCATTTTGTTACCTGCACAACATCGATCACCCATTCCACCTCAGGCCTGTAAATGCCCCTTTTTAGAAATCCCAGTCCTCTATCTCGTCCTCCTCCTCCTCGTCGGTAAGGTCATCCCCCTCTTTGTAAAATAGCTCGCTTAGCCTATCCAGAAACATTTCCCCTATTGCTACATTTTTGTAGACTGTCTTCCAATGCATGGGGCGTGGAACATACACGTCATTTGCGCTGAGACACTTCAATATCTCAGCTAATTCCCTCGCCCAACTCCCTTCGAAGGGTCCCATCTCGACCAAAAGTCGAAAGAAGTTTTGCTTGGCGTATTGGTATAGCCCGAGGTTCGTCATGGACACGTTCCCTCTATCCCCGAGTTTAACCCGCACATCTATCTTGTCCATTTGCATTTCCGCCCGCTAACATGTTGCCCATACTACCTCTCGTTTCATCCCCCCTGAACAATTTCTACGGGACTATCCCTAATGCCAAGTCCGCAATCATCGCGTTCTCCCCTTCCTGGGATAGGTAGATCCATCCCCGGACTTCCACTGTCCTCCGAAATTCCAAATAAGTCACGCTTGGTGTCAGCCGCATCAAGCTGACCTTGGTCCATAAGGTCTCTATCCAAAGGAAGGTATCCCCTTCGCCTAACATCACGGTGTGATAGGCTGGCTCCCTCTTCTAGCAGGATGACGGATACCCCGTCCTTTACATCTACTCGCATTTCGTATCCGCTGGAATAGATTGGAGACGATAGCCACCGCTTCATCTTGGTTTCCAGCACCCGATCCTTGTTTTTCACAACCGAGTACCAACCCTGGTCCTTAAGTTCGGTCGGCCTATACCCTAGATGAGCAGTATTTCAGACCCCTCATCAAGGTCTGGCATAGTCTACCTTCCCCATTCTCAAGCTCTGCTTTTCCCGGATACCCTTGATCGGTCCCCTTCACTCATATTCGTTTTCTTGATTTGATTCAAAGCAGACCTCTATCTCCTCCCTCACGACCTTCACTCACTCGTGCGGATGTAGGCGGGAATCACGGTCCTTCCCAACAACTCATATCTCAACCAAACTTTACAGAGGAGGATTACAAAAGGCAAAATGCAGGCAATCTCACATACAGGCCGGTCATCTCCTCACCAGCCTTTTCCCCAATATGGTCTCTCCACTGTTACTTTTGGCAGAGCTTTATTCCATACTCAAGCGCAACTCAACCGTCGCAAGCGAGGTACCTCAACTCCGGCACAGGGTATCACCCCTCTCCATCTTCCTAGAGTACCCCATCCCTCCTTACCGCCTTTGTACACCCCTTTCGATACCGGGAATCACCCCACATACGGCCGGTAGGAGTAAAGGTTAGTTGTCCGAGCATTCACATCCTTTGGTTTGTCAGGAGTTCGTCTTTCCATGTCGTACTTTGGGAAACTACTAGCTGTCCCCAAGGCATCCTCCTTGTCCAACATGCAATGGTCTTTCCTCCGTCTGCTGACAACAGTGGCCTCGTCTGAGGAGACGTTTCGCATCCCGTCGGGCAAGGTATCGAGCCATGCTCAGCCCGCCCTCGCGAGAATGCGACTAATCAAACCTGCGAGACCCACTCCTGCCCAACAGCCCAGTGGACCACCCTGCCGCACATGAAATAAAAGGCTACCTATGGGAAGCGATGTTTCGCAACCCGCCCCAGCTGACTCAAACTTCCTTCCTTCCTTTCCACATGCAAGACGCTCAGTTTCCCCTCAAGCTATCACAAGTCCCAAATGGGACACACACATAAAACAAGTGTCTTTCCCTCGGTGCTCCCAGCGCATCCTACCCATGCCTCGCATTCACTCTCAGGACAGTGTGTGCCACTCCCCCCATTTTTCCATACACAGTGGTTGGTTCCTTCTCGTGAGCATCTTCAAGGATGAGCTAGTTTTCCTCGGAGTCTAGCAACTCCGTTCATTCTCATTCTCTTCCTTTGTTTGTCGCTTCATAGGGCAGGATTGTTCCTTCTTCATGGCTGTTGTGTTCATGTTGATTCCTTCAAGCAATTCAAAGTCTTTAGTGCAAGGGCCCGCCGGGCCCAGAAGAAGTATATAGGAAGACACACATTCGGTCGGATCACTCTGCCGAGGGATTTTTATTGGACCCCGGCCGAAGTCGGAGCAGCAAACACTTGCCAGGTAACCGGAACCCTTCTTTCAAACGAAGAGGAAGGGTCGACATGTGACTTGCCACATGCCCCTCCGAAACTTGCGAACACCAGTGTCGTAAGTAGGGGGCTAGAGTCACTCCCCAAAAAACAGCGAGTTGATCATGAGTGCAAGCATACATACTATTGCACCAGACCTGGCCATGTCATGCGCCCAGCCACCCTCAAATCTGATTCTCTCAAGGGAAAGAGCAAGCTTAAGTTCATACTTCTTTTCTTCGGTTATGTACACGGTCATGCGTCAGACGACCCCTTTCAAATGGTAACGGTCAGTTTAACCCTTTACCAGGCACCTCCATCATTTTTTTTTAAGACCTCACCCTGTTAGACTTTCGAGCCTGAGTCGATCCTTCTGCGGGTCCAAGTTGGCTCGGCTCCGCCCACACTCATGCTCAGGGCGTGGAGCCATTTGTCACAGGGTCACCCCACTTAGTGGTTTGAGATGGATGGGGGTGGGTCATTGAGCGAGAGAGCTTTGACATTGGGAATGTAGCTTAACTTTCTCGCTAGTAGAGGCAGTTTTGTTGTTCACTCAGAAACGTTCATTCCTCGATATTTTGTTGTGTTCTCATACAATTGCTCCTTCCATTACACAGGCAGTCTAGAGAGTTCTTTGAAAAACTTCTCTTCTCTTATGCAGAAGCCAAGCGTCTTACTTGGGCCACACATCCATTCACTAACGCAATTCTCCTACGGTTTCATCGAGGTAGGGGGGACTCCCTCCGGTCCTCTTTGTCGGCCTACGCACAACACTTCATGCATCATGTTATGTTGCGCCCCTTAGTCTTTTCAGGGCTCCCACCCGCATTCCTATAAGACTTAGCGGTCGTCTGGACCGTTCGGCACCTTTGCAAACCTCAGCTATTCGGGCCATATTTTTCCTTTCACAATTAGAGTCGCATGCACAAAGGGGCTCATTCACAAACAAAGGATTACGTTAACAACCTGCTTTAGCTTCTATCCCCCTTGCCCTTCACCAAGCTCCTCTCTTTCTAATCTTCTTGGTAGCACAAAGGGCCGACAACCCTCTCCTTGCCCTCTTCTTCCACCAAGTGAGATTGAGAGTTCTTTCATCGTTGGTACCCTGACAATGTAACAAGGGAGTGGGGGAAGGGTTAATTGTATGCCAAGAGGAGAAGGGAAAGAGGGTATGGGTTGAGCTCGGGGTTCGGAAGAGGAAGATAAGAGAAGTTGGTGATCGAGAGAGAGAGAGAGAGAGAGAGAGAGAGAGAGAGAGAGAGAGAGAGAGAGAGAGAGAGAGAGAGAGAGAGAGACAGAGAGAGAGACAGAGAGAAAGAAAGAGAGAGAGACAGAGAGAGAGGGACCCTTTAAGCGTAATCCAACCTACCCTCTACTTGTCCTATCGTGCTACCTATGACTTTTTAATCGATTTGTTGCTTTATACGCCTTGGATCACGGCATTGGTTCGTGAGGGAGGTGGACGTGGTGATGAAAGAAGGTATGAAGGTGCTTGGCTATGGCGGATGGGTGAAGGAGATGGAGGTGGAAGAAGGTGTGAAGGTACTTGGCTATGGACGATAGGTGAAGGAGGTGGAGGAGGAAGACGGTGCAAAGGTGCTTGGCTGTGGTGGATGGGTCAAGGAGGTGGACGTGGAGGACGGTGCGAAAGTACTTGGCTATGGCGGATGGGTGAAGGAGGTGGAGGAAGAGGAAGGTGCAAAGGTGCTTTATTATGGTGGATGGGTAAAGGAGGTAGAGGAGGAGGAAGGGGCGAAGGTGCTTGGCTATGGTGGATGGTAGAAGGTGGTGGAGGAGTAAGAAGGTGCGATGGTACTTGCCTATGGCAGATGGGTGGAGGTGGACGGGGAGGAAGGTGCGAAGGTGCTTGGCTATGGTGGATGGGTGAAGGAGGTGGAGGGAGAAGGTGTGAAGATGCTTGGCTATGGTGGATGGTTGAAGGAGGCGGAGGAGCAGGAAGGTGCGAAGGTGCTTGGCTATGGTGGATGCGTGAAGGAGGTGGAGGTGGGAGAAGGTGCGAAGGTGCTTGGCTATGGCGGATGGGTGAAGGAGGTAGAGATGGAAGAAGGTGTGAAGGTCCTTGGCTATGATGGACGGGTGAAGGAGGTCGAGGTGGAAGAAGGTGTGAAAGTACTTGGCTATGGTGGACGGGTGAAGGAGGTGAAGATGGAACAAGGTGTGAAGGTGCTTGGATATGGCGGATGAGTGAAGGAGATGGAGGTGGAAGAAGGTGTGAAGGTGCTTGGCTATGGCGGATGGGTGAAGGAGGTGGAGGTGGAAGAAGGTGTGAAGGTACTTGGCTATGGTGGATGGGTGAAGGAGGTGGAGGAGGAAGAAGGTACGAAGGTNTGGAGGAGGAAGAAGGTACGAAGGTGCTTGGCTATGGTGGATGGGTGAAGGAGGTGGAGGTGGAAGAAGGTGTGAAGGTACTTGGCTATGGTGGACGGGTGAAGGAGGTGAAGGTAGAAGAAGGCGTGAATGTACTTTGCTATGGTGGACGGGTGAAGGTGGTGAAGGTGGTGAAGGTGGAAGAAGGTGTGAAGGTACTTGCCTATGGTGAAAGGTTGAAGAAGGTGGAGGTGGGAGAAGGTGGGAAGGTACTTGGCTATGGTGGATCCTGAACTTCTGGTCTCTCCCTATTTGCGTTGTGTCGACGCCCAAACTATAAAAAACTCCAGACTTGTGAAATTAAGATTTGCAATAGACACTCAAACTTCGAAAAACTCAGATTTGCGATTTTTCAGTTTTTGCCAATTTTGCTAAGGGAGGGAGAGCTGGAAAACTCAGATTTGTGATTTTTCAGTTTTTGCCAATTTTGCTAGGCGAGGGAGAGCCGAAAAACCCAGATTTGCGTTTGGTGGCTTAAATGAAGTGAGATGGTCAGGTAACTTCATAGGCCGTTTGTCTACACCCTACCGATGACCCTCCGATGACCCTCTTAAAATATGCTCTGATTCTGTCGTCATTTGCCCCTACTTGCCTGTTTCAAGCACCGCTCGAGGCTCTAGCTGAAGTTTGGGGAAGTCTATTTTCTGTGTTTGCGGGAAAATGAACTTTAATGGCCAGGCGGATTTGCAGACCATTTATATATGCATAGGATATGGGGCCTGTTCAGTCCCCCCCCCCATATCCCCTGTCTGGTGGAGTTGGTTTTTCGGCACCTCGGACCGTATTGGATCGTTGGCTATTTTGGCCTGGTCCTTGCCCCCGGGACTTGGACGGTGGTTTCTCAGCAGCAGCAGTAGTCAAGAGCTTGGCTAGGCATCAGCAGGAACCGCGTCGAGTAAATCATCACCAACAAGAATCATCAGCAGCAGCTACAGTTTCCTATCACTCTTTTCCCTTTATCGCGTTCAAGTAGAGCATGGGGGGGCGAAGCGACGTTCAAAAAAAGCACGGGGGCGGATTATTGTGTCAGTCGAATAGCGCACATGGGGGTGAACTGCCACAAATACAGAGTGTTTAGTGTGCACATACGACTATGTCAAGGAAATGGACAAAGATAAAAGTTGCGTTTTACATTCAAGTGAAAAGATTGACGAAGTATAGAGAGGGGGTGAGTGAAACTCACTCCCAAGCTCGAAAGCATAAAAAGCAAAGTGGCAAAATAATTTAAAGTGAGAAAATTGACAAAGCATGAGCACATGATGACACCAACTCTAAGAAGAGCAAGAAATGGACTTGCGATTTACAACCAAGTGAGAAGATGATAAAAAAACGAAGCTCATGCATTGAAACTCAAAATGCAAAGTGGCGAAACACTGTGAAGTAAGAAAATGGACAAACCATGAGCATATGATGACATCAACAGCAAGAAGAGCAAGAAATGGAGTTGCGATGTACACCGAAGTGAGAAGATGATTAGAAAGTGAAGGGCCAGTGAGTGAAACTCACTCTCATGCCTGAAAACTCAAAATGCAAAGTGGCAAAATTCTTTGAAGTGAGAAAATGAACAAAGCATGAGCATATGATGACATCAACACTAAGAAGAGCAAGAAACGGAGTTGCGATTTACACCAAAGTGAGAAGATGACAAAAAAGTGAAAGGACTCAATCATGGAAACTCAAAATGCAAAGTGACGAAATACTTCGAAGTCGGAAAATAGACAAAGCATGATCATACAATGATATTAACACTAAGAAGAGCTAGAAATGGAGTTGCGATTTACACCCAAATGAGAAGATGAACAATAGTGAGGGAAGAGTGAGTGAAACTTACTCTCATGCATGAAAACTTAAAATGCAAAGTGGTGAAATACTTTGAAGTGGAAAAATGGACAAAGCATGAGCACGTGAAGACGAAAATACTAAGAAGAGCAAAAAATGAAGTTTCAATTTACACCCAAGTGCAAGAAAAATTAACGATAACGAATTTTAAAAACCAAGCAGCATTATACACATGAAATAAGATAGTCGTGACCTCGAACCAAAAGCAGAATTGCAACTCGAGTTCCACCAAATAAGAGCACAACAAAAGCTCATAAGTGACAATGTTGGAATAGTCTTATCATCATCAACAAAAAAACAATGTCGATTTTCTATCTTGCGCTCGGCACCCAGACTACGAATGGCAGATCCTCTCTAGCCTATCTACAATGTCGCTGATGACGTCAACAACTCCCCGAAGTACGAGCAGATCTCGACCAATGTCATTTGCCTAAAGTACAAGGTATGTCTCTCGCATCACTCACAACCTCGATCCCTCACACACAGATGCCACGTGCACCCAAGTACCACTATGCGCCCCATCCAACATAGGACAGGGCAGCTCGACTATAGTTGCCTGCTCTTCCTGCTCGCCCATGAGCATGTGGGTGTCGGCCAACGATTACCGCAACAACGCTTGCGCAACATGCAGCCAGTGTCCGAATGTCGAATGCGAGGGCAAACACTTTCCTAAATGGAAGTGGCCTGCCTGCTGCATGCGGCTAATATGTCAATTCAAGAATGAGATTACCCGTGTTCAACTACATGCAGCCTGTGTTCGGTCCATGTTGCGTATCTGGCCCAGGGCCTCCCTCAGTTACATACGAAAAAGGCAGCCATGGCCTGGACGCTCTCAACCAACTGGCGCTGCACAACTGCCTGAACTTCCCTCAGTTGCGTGGTAGACGAAAAGTAGGCCTCTCGTCCTTGGTCGGGCCTGCCTTCACTTAGGGCAGCCGACATTGCTGATAACAGGGCCCAATCAGGCTCGTCAAGGCCTTGAGCCTCGCACAAGTGAGAAGATGATCAAAAGTGAAAGGAGAGTGAGTTTCATACATGAAAACTTAAAATGCAAAGTGGCGAAATAATTTGAAGTGGAAAAATGGACAAAGCATAAGCACATGAAGACAAGAACACTAAGAAGAGCAAAAAATGGAGTTGCGATTTACACCCAAGTGAGAAGATGAGGAGAAGGTGAATGAGGATTGAGTGAAACTCACTCTTATACATTGAAACTAAAAAATGCGAAGTGGCGAAATACATTGGAGTGAAAATTGGGCTACATGGAGGCAATCTGTAATGGAGAAGCAACTTCCTAGCTTTCTCATGCTTAGTATGTTATTTATGGAGAGAAAGAAAGAGGAGGAGAGAGGGGAGGAAGAAAATGGAAAAAGATGAAGAATATTTAGAAGATGAAGAAGGGGGGAAATAAGAAGGAGGAAAAAAAAAAAAAAAAAAAAAAGCTCTAAAATGTAGATTATGGAAAAAAAAAAAAAAAAAAAAAAAAAAAAAAAAAAAAAAAAAGGACGAAGAAGGAGAGAGGAAGAATAAGTTCAAGAAAAAAAAAAAAAAAAAAGATAAAGAAGAAGAAGAAGAAGGTTTTCACCAATCTCCTTTAATATCTTAAGATGAAGATGTCAATCTTGGTGAAGCTCCCTCTCTTCTTTGCACACTTGTTGCCCAACTATGGTTTTCTTCTTCTATCTCCTTCCTCCCTCAGTCTCTTTCGGCTATGGCAAGCTCCTACTAGTAAGGCTGTGGAGTTCTCCCCTCTAGGAGGGCTAAGTGGAACCCCACTAGCCTTTCTTTTTTCCTCACAACCTCGGGGCTATGGCGAATCACTCCCCTAGGCTGGCACAACCTCCATTAGCCTCAATTGCCTCTCCCACTAGCCTACAACCTCCTCCGAGCTCCCAAACTGGACAACCATTCCCCTCCTTTCACTCTGATTAAGTGTAGGGCTTTCTTGGGCTCATATGGGCAGCATGTACTTGCCTCATGCAAATGTGAGTGTGGAAGGCTGCTCCCCCAGCTTATATAGGTTGGACACAACACTTCGGTCAGCCCATGGGCCTTTTTATGTGCCCCATGGTGAACCAAGGTACCCCAAAGACCTTCTCCTTCCACTAGGCCTTTCCGGGAGCACCTGGCCTCTTTTTGGCCAGGTACATGCAGTCTGAGTGGTTGGTACAGGTCGCCTTGCCTCTAGAGCCTCCTAATTCGTCATTTTCATTTTCGAATGTTGCCCCATAGGTCCGAATATTCAAGGGGCAGCCCTACTTGAAAGAAAAACGCCTTGTGAGCCTTGTTCTCAATTTTTCTTAATCCTATCCCAATTTGAGTAGGCCGAGGTATTTTCTTGTACCTCGGTGCCATCTCAGCCTTGGATCTGGCTGGGATCCAAGGCCAGCATTAATCCGAGTTACCCCCAAGTGGTCCTTGCTTCAGATTTGAGCCCCAAGGCTTACTTTTTAAATTTTTGGTCCATCTGGTCTTCTTTTTCGGCCAAATGCACTTTTCCGTTATTTTTCCTTTTTTGTTTCTTTCCGTTTTGGGCTGCCAACTCATTCCAGAGTTGGGCGTTTGAGCTGGGTGCACAAAACACGACCATATCTCCTTCTCCATAGATCTGAATCTTAGATCCATGGTCAAAAAGAAAATCAGCCTATTTCTTTTTTACTTTCTCTCTCATTTTGTTTTTTTTTAATTAAGATATTGTCGAGATAATACCCCAAGGCCTTATCTTTTCACTCTGGATTGCCCTCCACCAAATCCGAAGTGATGAGGTCACAGTATGGACCTGCCTTTGCCTATTGTGTCAGTCCCAACTGACCGACACATCCTCCTCTACTCTATACTCGTCCTTTGTCTCATTCTCCCTCCTTTTATTTTTCGTTTTTATTTTATTTTATTTTATTTCTGATGTGACAAGCGTGAAGCAGTTGTAGACTATTTTCCCAGGCCATGGATCTTGATCTAGAGATCTAGATCCATCAGCTGACCGTTATTTCTCGAATCTTAATAATGAAGCCCCTATACTCATGGGGCCTTCATTTTGCCTTCGTTAGTCTCAATTTTTTGCCCCCATTACTCCGTTTTTTCCTTGACAGCCTGTTTTTTGCGTAGAGCCCCTTAGGGCTCTATTTTCTCATGCCTTGCTACTCCGAGATATCTTGCACTGCAGGGCAGACCTTCCATCATCATTTTTTTTCTTCCTTCGCCTCCAAACTCCCACTAACTTAAGCCCTCTCAATTCTTGCACTAGTGGTTACTAATATTTCCCATCGTCAAGATCCTGATCTCGACGGTGCCACCTGCTTCACGTGTTCATCCTCCATGCGTAGTCCACCATTTCCATTGGAACACTTAAGTCCCCGCCACTCGTCTCGTACTAGTCTCATTTTCTAGTCCCACTGGTAGTTCCGTTGGAACATGTCCAAGTTTTCGATTATTTTTATTTGGGTTTATTTAGCCCCCGACATTGTTTC